AACCTCCCATGAAGTTCAACCTACATGACCCAAAGAAAAATCCTTTTTAGCAAAGGGCTAATTGATCAGTATATTGTAATGTGGCGGCAATCACAGAACTGTAGTTCTTGGAAGGGACCCTTGGAGATCACCTAGTCCAATCCCCTGCCAAAGCAGGTTCACCTAGAGCAGGTTGCATAGGAACACATCCAGGCAGATTTTGAATATCTCCAGAGGAGACTCCACAATCTCTCTGGGCAGCCTGTTCCAGTGCTCTGTCACCTTCAAAGTAAAGAAGTTCTTCCTCATGTTCAGACAGAATTTCCTGTGTTACAGTTTGTGCCTGTTGCCCCTTGTCTTGTCGTTGGGCACCACTGAAAAGACTCTGGCCCAATCCCCTTGACACCCTTCCTTTAGATATCTATAAGCATTGATGAGATCCCCTCTCAGCTCTCTTTTCTCCAGGCTAAACAGACCCAGGTGTCTCAGCCTTTCCTCATAAGAGGGGTGCTCCAGTCCCTTGATCATCTTTGCAGCCCTCTGCTGGACTCTCTCCAGTAGTTCCCTGTCCAGTAGTTCCCTGCCTTTCTTGAACTGGGGAGCCCAGAACTGGGCTTAGTCCTCCAATTGTGGCCTCACCAGAGCAGAGTAGAGGGGGAGGATGACCTCCCTCAACCTGCTGGCCATGCTCTTTTTAATGCTCTCCAGGAGACCATTGGCCTTCTTGGCACAAGGGCCCATTGCTGGCTCATTGTCAACCTATTGTCCACCAGGACTCCCAGGTCCCTCTCTGTGGAGCGGTTTTCCAGCAGGTCAACCTCTAACCTGTACTGATACATGTGGTTATTCCTCCCGAGGCGCCGGACCTTACACTTGCCTTTGTTGAACTTCATAATGTTCCTCTCTGCCCAACTCTCCAGCCTGTCCAGGTCTCGCTGTATGGTGGCACAGCCTTCTGGTGTGTCAACCACTCCTCCCAGTTTTGTGTCATCGGCAAACTTGCTGAGGGTACACTCTGTACCCTCATTCAGGTTGTTGATGAATATATTGAACAAGACTGGACCCAGTACTGACCCCAGGGGAACACTGCTAGCTACAGGCCTCCAACTAAACACTGTGCCACTGATCACAACCCTTTGAGCTCTGAGCAATCAATTCTTTTCCAGTGCAACCTTTGAAGTATGCCTTCAAAACAGAATCCTTACATCAGGATGTATTGTAATAAATCATTTACCTTTACAGTAGTGCAGATCCTGTCTTAGGTCACAACATTTTTTAAAGTATTTTCATATGACAAAGCTAAGGACCCCACAACTGGACAACATTTTTTTTTTTTAATACCCCAGAAGCTGCAATTTTTTAAACCAACGCTCAAAAGATCCCAAAGAAGTAACTGTAAGAATAGTAAAACTGGCACATTCAGGTATCTTAGTTCCTAATTCCCAAACAGACCAACTGTCTAGAACTAACCAAAGTCCTGAGGTCCTCGCACGTGGGATAAGGCAGTATCTAGAAAAGAGGTATCAGTTGAATTAAAAGCACTAGAAGATGGATGATAATATTTAAGCGGTCAGAAAAAATAAACTCAACCAAATTATTTGCTCATTTTACAGCCATGGGATTGCTCAGCCCCTGGAATGGCTTTAGATCTGAGAAAATATTTAAAAAGAGATTACCCAGTGCAAGAAAAAAATACTATATATGTAATTTAGGACCCTTTTTGATATTTAACTGTTTTTAACACACACGTGCAGAAACACCCTTCTCTCCCCGAAAACGAGTACTGGTTTTCAGTTCACTCCTGAGCAGTGGCGGGGGACAATCCAAACACGCTGCCACACGTGTGCACCCATGACGTCCACAAATCCATTTGGTGTCAATCACCTGAAACGTCAGTTCACATCCTGAAAGGGGAAAGTCCCGAAATGACAAATTTCTTGTGACACCCGCTGTGGGGTGTCTGACAGGAACCGTGCCAGCCGCTCTAGAGCCACAGAACAGGTCACCCACCCTCGTCCCCACACCGCGAGCACTGAGGCACGTCCTGGCTCCTTCCATGGAATTACCCATACGCTCGGGATGTTAAACACAATATGGGATTTCTTAGACTTAAAATATTTTGGCTCTAGGCTCCGGTTAGTCTCAGCACAAGAAGAGGGCATCCAACAAAACGCAGGTGTCTCTCCATCCATCCTCATTTACATATCAATTAACGCCCACCGACAGGGCGCGCACACACGGGGGGGGGGGCAGAGGGCCTCGGTAGAAACACTTCATTATGGTTGTTTATAGAGTATTTCGAAGAAAGGTCAGAATTAGAAAACTGTGGGCTCTTATACCAATAACTTTATCGGGTAAAATAACTCCCTTTAGCAAGCATACTTCCTCTAGGCAAATTAACATACGAATTAGAACAGCAGCGGCAAAGTACTACGGACATTATTAAAACTCCCGGAGCGGTGTAAGCGCTGGAGCAGCAGGTACCTGACAGCCCCGGCTCCGCAGGACCGCACCGCGCC